TGTAACATTGTGGAGAAGCTGGGGAAAACAGGCAGAGGCATTTAAATGGAAAAACTAGAACAAACAATAAACCAAAAACCACAGCGAACAAAGAACAGAATGAAAAGCAAACAGACAACCATTCCATTCAACAACTCACAAGGAACTAAAGAAACACTAGGGCTATATATACACGGGGGATAACAAAATAAGACACACCTGGAGAGACTAATCAAGATGAACCAATGAACAAACGGACTACAAACTAACAAACACCACGGGAGACAGGAAGTGACATAAAAGTCCAAGACAAGGCACAGAGAACATGTAACAAAAACAAAAAAGTGTTGATTTGTGAGAAGAGCAATCATGTTTATTTTCTAAAACCAAAATAAAACTGAACACCTCAAAATTGAAAAAAAAAAAAAAAATCCTTCAAAACGGTCTCTTCAGTATAACGGATAAATAAAGCAATGTTAAGTCAAATTAAAAAGTCAAAGCCTTCTTGCACTGGATGTGCTGGTTTCGGCCTCATTGCCGGCTGCAGTCATGTCCTCCTCTTATATATATATAAACACCTGTGATTCACAGCTACTTGCTTAGGAACTAAACGTATTCAGGTAAAATAGCCTTGTTGAAAAGTTTGGCTGAATAAGGGCAAAACACACAAGATATAGTACTTTCAGTGCCCTGTAGTTGATATCACTTCTTTTGTAGCAGAAATAAACCGCTGCAGAAAAAGCTAGGTGCCATGCAAAATGTAATGTGTAATTGCAACACTCATTACAAATGTAGTGGAGTAAAGAGTACAGATAGGCTACTTATTCAAAAAATGTAGTGAAGTAGAGAGTAAAAGTTGCTAATATCTTTCATACTCAGTCAAACTACAGAGTATTCAAATAGATACTCAAGTACAGTAATTAATTACATTTACTCAAATACTTTACACCTCTGTCCCATTCTAAATGGAAATTGTATGTTTTCGCCTTTTTTCTTGGAGCTTCCGCCATTCTAGCTAAACTGTTACCTCGCTGGCTATCGCCATGGAGAGCTGTATAGGCCATTTGACAGTAAACTTACCAGTGCTTATTATGTCATTGGTCACTTTAATTTTATCTCATTGGTCACTTAATCAATTTACGCAGAAATCTTGGTAAACCCACAAACTATTCTGACACATGGGTTGCTGCTGCATTTTTTAAAACTTAAATTATAACATTGTAGCCTATAACATTGTGTGTGTACACGTAAAAGAACTGAGATCCAGAACTATCCGTAGTATAACGTCTATATAATGAACATGTCCACATGGCCCACCTTGCATCATACAGCTGGAGCATGACCTTCAGAATCATCCCACCATTCTGTATCCATGTCAGAACCATCTGCCTGTCAGAGACGTTCCCCTCCTTACGTCTGTTTATTAATTTGAGATCAAGCAAAACTATTTTGAATCTTCTAAAAGCTGAAAAATAAAATATTACTAACCATGCACTGCAATGTGAACAGCTATTCAGCTGATGGCTGAACATGATGGCAACAGTTTTATTAATTCTAAAGAGAAATGCTCATTAACCGAAAGCCTATCATTTTTAGCTAAAATAGTCTAGCTAACTGACTTGATAAATACAAAAGACTCAAAATACACCCTTGATTGAATGTTTTTTTTATACAGTATATGCCTTTTGAAATCTTTAATGCATTGAATCATGATTGAATTGAGGCAGAGATCTCGAGCGGGACTTCAGAAGTAATGGCTGGAGAGAGCCGCCACAACTACGGACAGGAATTTCTGCCAGGTGGCCTGAACAGCAGGGCTGAGCGCGGATCCAAATGCGCTCGCAACGACGATGGTGAGACAATCGGCCAACAGCTGTGTGAGTCAAGAAAATTTGCATTTGTTAGGCAAGTCATAACTGTATAACGGAGGTGTTGTGATATCCTTATTGACAAGCTCAAACTTAGAAAATAAGTAGCATGTACCCTGAAGTTATCTGGATCGCCGTTGAGTTTGTCGCAGTGCAGCTGGCTGAGTTCAGAGTAAGTGCCTTTGATGTTACCCAAGTTCTTCACGGCTTTGTCCAACGCATTTAGCACTGTTCTGCCATGCTCTGACACCTTGGGATTGCCCAGGATTGCAGCTGCACTGGATAGGTTTCCAAAGGCACCGAAATACCTCTGAGTCCAGGGATAAACAATCAGCACCCTGCCATATGAAACAATGAAAATACATAAATCCAAAGTCTATTTAGACGGGACACTTATCCCCATCGCCAACCCATCAGCGCTCGACCAGGCCTTATATATATATATGAACATAATAATATAAATGACCCTTTCAAAAGCAAGCGAAGCCAAACAGCCAATTAATGTAGCTGGTTAAGGCAGAATACTTTTGGCCGTGAGGTTGCAGGTTCGCACACTTGCAAAATTATACATACATACATACATACATAAACACACACACATACACACGCACACACACGCACACACACACACACATATGTGTGTGTGTGTGTGTGTGTGCGTGTGATATCCAAGGTTGCATTTAATTTGAAATTTGGATTATTTTAAAATGCAGTGAGCCCCGATAAATGCAATTTCTAATATTTCTAAAGTGCTTCTTTATAATGAACATCGCTTTCTCAATACTTTACCCGCTCTATAACGCAGTGAAAGAGCTCTTGTATATAGTGAACAATCGATTCTCGAGCCATCGATATCAACCTTGCAGCTGCACTGGATAGGTTTCCAAAGGCACCGAAATACCTCTGAGTCCAGGGATAAACAATCAGCACCCTGCCATATGAAACAATGAAAATACATAAATCCAAAGTCTATTTAAAATACATCACCGAATGATCAACTTGGTATGTATATCTCCTTTTACACACTATCAAATTACCTTGCCAGAGCCTGGGGTCCGATTTCATCGACGTTGATTTTGCACCAGACACTCGCAATAGTACTGCACTCAGAATCTGACCACTCCACCATTGTGATTATCTCTTTACTTTTTCAACAAGTGTGAATGCTGAACATAGATAGATGCTCATGGAGTTTTTATTTATATTGCACTCTCCGCCCCACATCAGGCGCTGAGACTGATTGGCTGTGTGGTTGTTCATATTTGGACCCGATCCGATTCCGAGCTAATGCTACATTTTGATTAGAAACGGCAAAGTTAGATTTGTCAGGAATATATTTCAAACATCACAAAATAAGTATGGATTCAATCATCAAAATCATGAATGTGGATCTTGTGTAGTCTATTGTGCTTGCCTCGAAAAAATCTATATCAAGGCAGTGCATGCATAATTATTATGCATAATTATTATGCAAGATTAATAGTAGTTATTAAGATTGATGTCGTTTGGAATTGGTAAAATGTGCTTGGAAAAAAATATGATCAGAATATCAACTTGCATAATAATTATGCATGCACTGTATGTTTTTCCTCTTCTGCTGTCGAGGTAATGCAAGGAATGTTGTGATTGGTTGTCAAGGCAGCCAATCAGAATTTAGCAGCCTCGTCTCTGATTGGCTGGAATTATGGCATATTGTAACGCTGGGTTGTGTTGAGCAAGCGAGCTGTTGGCATTTAGAGAGCACTGAGGGCGGGCATCAGGT